TGACGTGTACGCTGTTTTTGACCCTTGAATGGAGTGGCAGCACAAAACGCTTGCTACCCCAGTGCAAACAGAGAGTTGACGGCAATATGAAAATGAAATTTTTATTCTTATTAAGACCTGAATATTCTTATTTAGACCTCGATATTATCGCAGCTGGTGGGATGTGGTGTAAACCACTAAGCCTCTTGGGCTTGCCGATCTGAAGGTGGGCGGTTCGAATCCCTGTGACGGGGTGAGCTCCCATTGCTCAGTCCCAGCTCCTGCCAACCTAGCAGTTCGAAAGCACACCAGTGCAAGTAGATAAATAGGTACTGCTGCGGCAGGAAGGTAAACGGCGTTTCCATGCGCTCTGGTTTCCGTCATGGTGTCCCGTTGCGCCAGAAGCGGTTTAGTCCCGCTGGCCACATGACCTGGAAAGCTGTTTGTGGACAAACGCTCTCTCCCTCAGCCTGAAAGCGAGATGAGCGCCACAACCCCATAGTTGCCTTTGACTGGACATAACCGTCCGGGGGTCCTTTACCCTTTTTTACCTTTTTGTCACAGCTATGATGGGAACAGAGAAACCTGCCCTATGTTGAGTCAGACCATTAGTCCACCTAGCTCCCCAGGGTTTCAGATAGGGTTTCTTCTACCCCAACTTGGAAATTCCAGGGTTTGAAGTACATTCAGCATAACATTTCTGCAGAGTGGAGTCTTTTCTCAGAGTCTCTGAGAGTGGAGGCAGAATGTAGCCACTGGTGACATTCACAACATACATGCAAAGCACTATGATATCACATTAAACAACCACTGCTCCCCCTGCAAAAAATTCTGGGAGCTGAAGTTTGTTAAAGGTCCTGAGGGTTGTTAGAAGGCCCCTATTCATATCCCAAAGCTACAGCAGACCCTCCAAGTGTCCCTATTTTCCAGGGACACCCCAGATTTACAGAAGACATCCCAGTTTTTGATTTGATCCCAGAATGCCTCACATTTCCTTAGGACATCCCTATTTTCATTGGAGAAATGTTGGAGGGTTGGAGTTATGCGAGCCAAGGAGTAAAGTAACTACAGTGGTACCTTGGTTTACGAACTTAATCCGTTCTGGAAGTCCGTTCTTAAACCGAAACCGTTCTTAAATCGAGGTGCTCTTTCCCAAATGAGGCCTCCTGCTGCCGGTGCCCTTCCACAGTTCGGCTTCCATTCTTAGACCGAGGTAAAGTTTGCAAACTGGGACACTACTTCCGGTTTTGCGGAGTTCATAAACCAAATAGTTCATAAACAGGGCTGTTCTTAAACCGAGGTACCACTGTATAGGACTCAGCTGCACTGGCAAAGAAAAAGTGCTTTATATGAGTGGTTTATGCATTCAAACACTGTGACACCAGATGGTGCTGTAGAGTCCCGCTTTTGCCAACCTGATTTCTCATGCAAAGTTTACAAGCGCGTTTAACTGAAGCGCTTCTTTGATGCCTCTAGATCCAGCCTATACAGCCATTAGAAGACATCTGAAAGCAGCCCTGTAGGGTTTTTGTATGTGTTGGAAGCCACGCAGAGTGGCTGGGGCAAGCCAATCATACAGGTGGGGAATAATAAGAATGATAATAATAGTAAAATGTGATGTCCCTATTTCCATTAAAGAACTGTTGGAGGGTATGGCTACAGTTTCTAGAGGGGTGTAACGATTCATCCCGCTTCACAAAGAACTCTGAGAATTGTAGCTCTGTGAGAGAAACTCGGTGGGGAATAGAGGTTTCAAACACTTTAACAAACAGTTTTAACAAACACCCAGAATTCTTTAGGGGAATCAAGACTCTTTAATAGGATATCCTAGAGTTGTGAATGCAAGGATGGGAACCTGGCTGAGCAATCCAATAGGTTACAAAGGATACCATTAAAAAAAGGAAAAAAAGATGGATAATAGTATATTAATATTCTTCAACATGAAGAAAGGGTCTTCTCTCTCTGTGTGTTTGCTATCTAACTGATTTAATTTCCACAAATCTTCCCATTTCTACTAACGGATCAAGTTTCAATTGCACCTGGCCATTTATTGTGGATGACAACCTAATAAAATGAAGTCCCTTCAATAAACACTGTATCGGAATATCCCATCTTTTTATGTGGCAGTGTAAATTTCCACTCCTGAAAGAAACATTTAACATTCCCGCTATTTTAATACTTTTAATAAATATTTACAATTCCTGTGATAAGACGGGGGTGGGGGGGAGAGAGAATGCATCGCCTCCCAAATTTATGTGGCTGCTGGCAGGTGGCCATTTTCCAATTTTCTGTCTCACTAATACACATTTATTATGTATTTCCAAATGCCCCCGTTCCCTATTTGGCTTGTCATTAAAATGCCATTCCCTTTGCAAGAGACAAAGGGAAGGAACTCTCACAAAGGAATCTTGACTGGCCTCGGCCTTCAGATAGAGAATAGAAACCGGGGGGGGGGGGAGCAAAAGTTGTCAGATCGGTCTCTTTGCTGAAAGACATACTACATCTGGATCCGAGATTCCATTTCCAAATGAGTAACGTGAAAACCTCCTGATTTTTAGCATCTCCTTCCCCCTGGAGTATATGTGCTGCGTTGTCACATGCCAGGCATAGCATGACATGAAAGTGGCAAGAATATCATGTTCGTCCCACACTTCAAGGAAGCGGCCAATCCTTCAGTATGGCAACTTTGGAACTCCCCTCCCAGCCTTTGCTGTACTGCTTCTGGTCCCTGCTAAAAAAAACTTCCTTGTTTAGAGAAGCCTCCCAAAGACATGTAAATCCGATGTGTGTTTTAATATGTAGCTTTATTTTACAATGTTTTGCACATTTTCTTTTAAAAAAAGAAACTGGCAATTTTATTTTTACCTTGCTTAAAGCTACTTTGTTGGGACGCGGGTGGCGCTGTGGGTTAAACCACAGAGCCTAGGACTTGCCGATCAGAAGGTCAGTGGTTTGAAACCCCACGACGGGGTGAGCTCCCGTTGCTCAGGCCCTGCTCCTGCCAACCTAGCAGTTTGAAAGGACGTCAAAGTGCAAGTAGATAAATAGGTACCGCTCCGGAGGGAAGGTAAACGGCGTTTCCATGCGCTGCTCTGGTTCGCCAGAAGCGGCTTAGTCATGCTGGCCACATGACCCAGAAACTGTACGCCAGCTCCCTCGGCCAATAAAGCGAGATGAGTGCCGCAACCCCAGAGTCGGTCATGACTGGACCTAATGGTCAGGGGTCCCTTTACCTTTACCTAAATCTACTTTGTTTTTTGCATCTGTTTCTTCACTAGTAATTTTGACGTATATTTAATTTTTCAGTTCAGCTGCCAGCTGGTGCTTGGCCACACACTTTTCTCTTTGCCTGGTTCAATTTCACCGGGCACGTGACACCATCGTGACATCAGGTGATTGACACGTAGACCCTTCCCACCTGTCAAACTTGGCCCCACAATGTGTATGAAGATAAGGATCTGGCCTGCAGGTGGGGGACCCCGATCTCAAAAAAAACAACAACCCACAATGCCCCCAAAGACAGTACAAATTCCCCCCCTTTGCACAACTGCAAAGTCTGTGGGAGAAAAATGCACATCACCTCTCAGTTTCACAAAGTCACGCAGCAGCGCATATTTAACTAATTCAAAGTAAGCCATTTCTTCTCCATTCTTACCCCAGTTTCGGTATGAACCATCCTCAAAACACACCCTTAACAAACGGTGATGTAATTTACTCCACAGTCACAGCATACATTTAAAGCCATGTCATTTCACAATAAAAAGCCAGTGCTTCCCCCAAAGGATTATGGGAGCTGTAGTCGGTTAAGGGTGCTGAGAATTGTTAGGAGACCTCCATTCCCCTCCCAAGGCTACAGTTCCCAGACTGGTTGAACAATCACAGGGAACTCTGGGAACTGTAGCTCTGATGATGCCTTGTTCCACATTCCAGAGGCATCACCCTGAGTCCTGAAACTTCAGAAGATCACCGACAGGATGGTTTTTGCTTCAAAGAAGTCAGCTGACAAGCCCATGGGAACTATTGATGCTCTGAAGCAGGAGCAGAGTGTTTAATGCTCAAAAAACATAGGAAGCTATGTTGGAACATTGGTCTGTCTATCTAAGTGTTGTACTCCCACCTGGACACCAATGTCCCCACTGTGGAGGGATGTGTGGTTCCAGAATTGGTCTCCACAGTCACTTATGGACTCATTGTTAAAACTGTGTTTATGGAAGACAATCTTACTTGGCTTCAAGTGATTGCCGAAGAAGAAGAAGAAGAAGAAGAAGAAGAAGAAGAAGACACTAACCTCTGAAGGTGGCCTTCTAAGATATCAGACAGAGGTGTCTCCCAGCCCTACTGGGAGATGGCAGGTATTGAACCACTGGCATTCAAAGCCAGTGCTCCACCACTGAGCTATGGTCCTTCCTCAAAAAAGAGAAACACTACTGAGAAATCTCCATGCCCAATACAGCTTCCAGGCATGGAAGGCTATTCATGGAGGTGTGATCAGATCAGCATTATTTCAACCCTTCCTGCTAGACTAATGTATGGTCACATTGCCATTACCTGCCTGCAATTCCGCTGAGAGGTTCTGATAAACATAACAAATGACGAGAGGGGAGCCAGAGCCATTTATATGTGTTATCAGCTGCTTGGGTCCCAGCCCACCTGGCTGAATTATGCTCTCCGTAATGGCCGGTGGCCCATGAACTTTTATTTATGGTGTCAGCTATGCTAATAAATATAGCCATGAATAGACCACGGTGCAGAAAAGGTGACCTATGGGCCTCGTTTGCTGAGATGATGGACAGGGCTGTGTGTGTACACTAAATATGTCCATTGCCAAGAGTCTGAAAACATTCCTACTCTCTTACACACAGGCAAAGTGGACTATCTTCACATCGATGACTCTGTGGGGTGGGTGGGATAATCAGTGGGGCAAGCAACCTGGATTTGGTCTGGCCAGGCTGCTTCCATGTATGCAGTTCCAAAAGTTTGTCAAAGGAAGGGCCAGTGTGGTGTAGTGTTTAAGAGCGGTAGACTCATAATCTGGTGAACCGGGTTCGCTTCCCCGCTCCTCCACACGCAGCTGCTGGGTGACCTTGGGCTAGGCACACTTCTTGAAGTCTCTCAGCCCCACTCACCTCACAGAGTGTTTGTTGTGGGGGAGGAAGGGAAAGGAGAATGTTAGCCGCTTTGAGACTCCTTCGGGTAGTGATAAAGCGGAATATCAAATCCAAACTCCTCCTCCTCCTCCTCCTCCTCCTCCTCTTCTAGTTCAGGACATCAAACAGAAGGTCACAGGTTCAATCCCTGGCTTCTCCAAATAGCACTGGGAGAAAGCTGAGATCCTGGATAGACAATATTGACCTAGATGGACCAATGGTCTGACTTGGTGTAAGGCTGCTTCCTGCTGTATCCTAAAAAGCACCCTCTGCTTAAAAACCTCCATTGAAGGAGAGTCCACCACCTCCAGAGGGAGAATGTTTCATTGTTGAACAGCTCTTACTGCCAGAAAGTCCTTCCTGCTGTTTAATCGGAATTTCTTTTCTTGTAACTTGAAGCCATTGGTTTGGATCCTACCCTCCGGAGCAGGAGAAAACAAGCTCACTCCCTCTTCCATGTGACATGTTTGAGATGTTTGAAGATGGCTATCATATCTGCTCTCAGTCTCCTCTTTTCCAGGCTAAAATATACCCAACTCCCTCAAACCTTCTTTATAAGGCTTGGTTTCCAGACCCTTGATCATCCTTGCTGCCCTCCTCTGCCCACATTTCAGCTTGTCAACATCCTTAGTAAATTGTGGTGCTCTGAACTGGGCACAATATTCCAGGTGTGGTCTGACTAAGGCAGAATAGAGTGGTCCTATTCCTTTCCTTGATCTGGACACTACATTCCTGTTGATGTAGCCTAGAGTTGTTGTTGTTTAGTCGGTTAGTCGTGTCCGACTCTTCATGACCCCATGGACCAGAGCACGCCAGGCACTCCTGTCTTCCACTGCCTTCCACAGTTTGGTCATACTCATGCTGGTAGCTTCGACAACACTGTCCAACCATCTCGTCCTCTGTCATCCCCTTCTCCTTGTGCCCTCCATCTTTCCCAACATCAGTGTCTTTTCCAGGGAGTCTTCTCTTCTCATGAGGTGGCCAAAATATTGGAGCCTCAGCTTCACGATCTGTCCTTCCAGTGAGCACTCAGGGCTGATTTCCTTCAGAATGGATAAGTTTGATCTTCTTACAGTCCATGGGACTCTCAAGAGTCTCCTCCAGCACCATAATTCAAAAGCATCAATTCTTCGGCGATCAGCCTTCTTTATGCTCTCACTTCCATACATCACTACTGGGAAAACCTAGCTTTAACTATCAGCTTATTTTTGCTGCTGCCTCACACTGTTGACTCATGTTAAGCTTGTTAAGCATATTAAGACCCCGATTTCCTTTTCACATGTCAAGCCAAGTGTCCCCTGCCTTCTCTGGAATAAGAGATAGGATAGGGGCCCTGACTGCATTCTGAGAAAGTGTGATAGGTGTGTCTGGAGTGAAGAAATAAAGAAAAGTTTCACCAAAAGCAAGTGACATTTTCCTCCCCAGGAAGGAGCTGCGCATACATGCCAAGGGTTTGTTTTGACCCTCAGAACCCACTCAAAGTTTGAAAGAAACACAGTGTATGGAGAAGAGAAATTTATAAGAATGCAAAAGTTAATTGCAGTCCTAACGACCCAGGTGACAGTACATACTTTTTTGTTCCCTTTATTTTTAACACTCCAGATACGTAATTTAATGTAGGCCTAATGACAGACTCAAACATCCTGCTTTAATCGATTTTTTTTTTCAAACTGTACACTCCAAAGAGAAGCTTGCTGGCCACCGCTGAGGCTGCCCATTTCCTCAGCATCGATAAGCAGGAAGAAAGGGGGGAAGAGAGAAGGTGAGAGAGGGAGAGAGAAAAGAGAATGGGGAAAAAGAAAATTGAACTTACATTGCTATTGATGTGTAATATACAATAAAAACAGTTAAATTTCAATTACCCACAGGTAATTATAATTTTATTGTTTGACAGTGCTGTGGGGATTTTTATAATTCCCAAGACTAATAATTTTCTATAATTTTACAGGTTGTCAAATAAACTATTAGAGATTATCTTTGAAAAGGGTTCTGAAATTGTAAGGACGTATCACACTGTTCATGTACATTATTAGTAATTAGAGATCTCTAGATAGTGAAATATCCACTGGTGTTCTGACGGCAGGATACCATATTTTCTCACAGGCTTCTATAATCTTGAACCGAAGCATTGAAACTTCTCCGAAGCGGACTGAATCACGTCTAAACTTTTATTAGCGTTCCTTGAGCTCTCATTAAGCCATTGTGAAGTGTTTGATAAGTGAAATCTGGACTTCCTGATGGGCTAAAAGCAAAGACAGGCTGCACTCCTCTCTCCTCAAGTGAGGGAGAATTTCGTACACACACACACACACACACACACACACACACACTTGGGCCTCACAAACTCTGCAGACAACATTAAAGGTACTTCTGTAACAAATAGTGAGTTGATATCTGCTTTACATATCCCAATTAGTTCAAAAGTCAGAATATGTGGCATGCATTGATTCCCCCCACCATTTTTAACTTTTATTTTTGGTTCATCAAATTAATAGGAAAAGATACTGCATTCCAAACTTATGAAAGGGGTGACAAAATGTGGGTGGAATTCTCTCCAAGGTAAAGGTAAAGGGACCCCTGACCGTTAGGTCCAGTTGTGGACGACTCTGGGGTTGTGGCGCTCATCTCGCTTTACTGGCCGAGGTCATGTGGCCAGCTCTGGCAACCAGAGCAGCGCACAGAAACACTGTTTACCTTCCTGCCGGAGCGGTACCTATTTATCTACTTGCAGAGTGATGTACATTGGGGTAATCTCTTTCTCTCTCTCTGTATGTATGTATATGTCATATAGATTCATGGGGGTCTGAACTGGCAGCGACTCACCATGAATAAGATGTTGGGAGTCATAGTGAACACATGCCCTCATTTCTCCAATGAAAATAGGGACGTCCACCACCATCATCATTTTATTATTTATACCACGCCGATCTGAGTGGGTTGCCTAGCCACTCTGGGTGGCTTTCAACAAATATAAGAACATAATAAAACTTTAAACTTTCAAAACATCCCTCTGCAGGGCTGCCTTCAGATGCCTTCTAAAGGTTGTAATTTACTTATCTCCTTGGCTCGGGGGGGTAACATAACTCCTTACCCTCCAACATTTCTCTGATGAAAATAGGGACGTCCTAAGGAAAAACGGGACATTCTGGAATCAAATCAGAAACCAGGATGGCTTCTGTAATCATCATCATCATCTGGGAGTGTCCCTGGAAAATAGGGACACGTGGAGGGTCTGGTGAACAAATTGATGTTGGCCCACTTTGAGGGAGCTGTGAAAAAGATGATTATTAGGGGAGGAATGAAAAAGAAAGCTGCTGATATCATAATGATGTAAAACAAATCTGTGGTTCAACTGCACTTGGGACGGTACTGCTTCACATAGCACATGGGTGCCAACCGTACCTGGAGTTGCCTGGAATTGAACTCGGGACTGGGTTACAGCCCTTTCCCAGAGGGCATGTAAACAATGGTAGCGGCCACTACTTCTCCACCAAGACTGGATAGGTAAGAACAGGGTAGGGGACTCAGCAAAGAAGGAGAGGACAGTAAAGGGGGGACGACTGATAACCTGAAGCACTGGGGTGTTGTCTAAGAAACAGCGAGATTACTGTTGGGATGCAGACCTCTGAAGATGCCAATAATCAACGCCAATATTTGCCTCCTGTCCAGCCCAATAGTTTGTCCAGTGATGTTCTCTTTCCAGCCCACCTGGAATTGCTGGAATTGTCCCTGATCAGGACAAAAAGCTGCTGTTTATCAGGGCTTTTTAAGTGCAAGGTAAGTGACCTTGGTGTCGCCTTCAGCTTGAGGGCACTTCTCTCTTATCAGACTCGGTTATCTCGAAGCAAACACAGCATCTTTCGCTATTATCTCCTCTGATTGAACTTTTGAAAAGGGACAACGCCTCTTGCAAGGACAAAGCAACAAAAAGGCTAAGTTCCAGATGTCACGTACATAGGGTTGTGCTCGGCTCATTCCTACTCCCAAGTAGACCCGGTGAACTTGATGGCCATTAACTGCAATGGGTCTACCCTGAATACGATGTTGGGCAAAGAATTTTCATTTATCTATTTATTATGGGATTGTTGTTGTTTAGTCGTTTAGTCGCGTCCGACTCTTCCTGACCCCATGGACCAGAGCACGCCAGGCACTCCTGTTTTCCACCACCTCCCGCAGTTTGGTCAAACTCATGCCGGTAGCTTCGAGAACACTATCCAACCATCTCGTCCTCTGTCGTCCCCTTCTCCTTGTGCCCTCCATCTTTCCCAACATCAGGGTCTTTTCCATGAAGTCTTCTCTTCTCATGAGGTGGCCAAAATATTGGAGCCTCAGCTTCACGATCTGTCCTTCCAGTGAGCACTCAGGGCTGATTTCCTTCAGAATGGATAAGTTTGATCTTCTTACAGTCCATGGGACTCTCAAGAGTCTCCTCCAGCACCATAATTCAAAAGCATCAATTCTTCGGCGATCAGCCTTCTTTATGGTCCAGCTCTCCTGGGGTGAGAAGCAGAATTTGGAGGCTGCACACAGAGTGCCATCTAATGGTAGCATATCAACGCCATCTGCAGAGGGGTTGCTGTGGTGGCAGAGCTCTGCGCTACCAGGTAGCTGACTGACGCAACTGGCTACTCACAGTGCATTTGGGTTAGAAGCAGTCCACAAATCTCCCTCTCTTTTTACTGCAAAGCTCTTGAGAAGATGTTGAGTGATTGGACCGCAAAGCCATCCAGCAAGCAAAACAGTCTTATTGACCTCGTCAGTGAAAGGCCTCCTAACATTACGTAGAGTCAACCGTTTTACTTTGATTGCAGCTTCTTCTTCTTCTTCTTTTTACTTAACCACGAGAAAAGGGCAAGCAATGTACAGTGTAAACTCTCAGAGTGGTTTTACTTTACTGCTCTCATCTGCAATAAATCTGCTGCACCGCAAGAGCCTCGGTTTTCAGCGCAGGGCTCGGTTGCTTCCAACATTTGTCTTGCTTTCTTCCAGAGTTTCATGGAGGAAGGCTTAAGGAGTCATGATACAGCAATGACATTGAAGGCACCCTGTCAAATTTGCAAGAAAGACTTCTTTCTTGAAAAGTTGTTATTTTCCATAATGGAAATAGGAGCTTCC